ATATAGAGAAATTTGTCAAGGGTCAACGAGCATTAAATTGCTTTTCTCCTTCCTTTGCTATTAGTATATATTAGACAATTAACTTTGACTTTCTGTCTGAGGTCAAGGACCTAGTCAAGAAGGATGCACTGTAGCACTGTGCTTGTGCTCCTGATGTTCATTGATTTGCTGGAGCGGGCCCAGTAATATCTCCATTTTGAGACTTGTTACTGTGTTTGGCATATCGAATATGTCACTGGGAGCTTGCCAGAGCTTGCCAGGCTTTGCTGTGCGGGCAAGATACTCTCGGTAGCTTGTCGGGCTTTCCAAAAGGAGCGGAGGAATCGAGCCTAGCTCGGGTGGGCTGGCTGCATGCAAGGCAAATGCCCTATCAGCACAGTGGATAGGGCATTTGCCTTGCACGTGACCGACCCAGGGTTCGATTCCCAGCATCCCATATGGTCCCCTGAAGCACTGCCAGGAATAATTCCTGAGTGCATGAGCCAGGAGTAACCCCTGTGCATCGCCGGGGGTGACCCAAAAAGCAAAAACAATTAACTTTACTCCTTATTAATACTTGCAGTTATTTGAAACAAGAGTAAGAGACAGAGATTCTAAAACTTTGTTCTCTGGGCTCTGAGGGCAGGCAAGACTTCTACCGTAAATCCTACACTAAGTCCTCGGGACAGTTCAGCTTGTCCTTCCCCATGGGGGTCCTGTCTCTTAAGTCCTAACAACTTGCATCAAAATCGTGCTTTTATGCTTTATAGATTGCCCCATTTTGACATGGGGTAGCTTCACCACTTACCCCAGTCCACACCAGTCCCACAGCACGACCACCATTTGTGGGGTGTTAGGTGCTGTGGCAACCAAATCCTGAGTCTAGTCATTATAATGAATGCCCAGGAGCACATATATTTTGGAGTCAATTAACTCGCAAATGTTAGCAGCATAGCATTAATGGTCTTCCTGTGTCTGAGCAAAGAACATTGCACTTTGGTAAAATATGAAAAGGTTATAAAGGAACTAGGAAAGCAAGTAATTCACTGCAAATACAAAGTTCAGAGTTACCACAAGGTTTGTCCTCTAAGTAAACATTAAAATGTACAAAAAACCCACTGCTTTCTGCCAAAAATATAGAAGAATTTTTTCCACATTTTTAAAACTAAAAGCACCGTTTTTTCGTTTTTCAGCGTTGAATTTTACACATACAGTATTGCAGCACCTGTTCCAACATCAGTTTCAACTTCCCTCCACCAATGTCCCCAGTTTCCAGGCCTGATCCCTCCTGCCCCACATCCAGCCTGCCCTTTTGAGGAGCACCTTTCTGAGCTCGGGTGTTAAAGTTTGGGTCTCTTGATTTCAGTGTCACTGACCTTTTGGCTACTCTATCACTCCTTAACAACACCTTGCTACCTGCACCCCTGCCCCCATTGCTCTCATCTGTGTTTTCTCACCCCCTTCCTCTCTTCTTTTCCTCCTCCTCCCTATACTCGGGAGCCAAGGTCGATCTTGGCATCCCCCTTTGAAACATTTCATTCCCTCCTTCAATACTTATTCTAAATACCGTTTATGAGTGATCTCCTCCCATGATTATCCTGGCTTACTTTGTTTAACCTGATGTCTTCCAGTTTCACACATGTTGCCGTAGTTCTTATGATTTCATCATTTCTTACAGCTACGTAGTACTCCATTAAGTATACATATCACATCTTCATGATCCACTGATCTCTCGTTAGACATCAGTTTGATTCCAAATCCAAACCATTGAGCTGAGTGCTACAGTAGATGATGGTTTGCATACATTCTTTCGAATGAATGTTTTCCTGTCCTGGGGAGAGGTAAACAGAAAATGGAACTGCAGGGTCATATGGGAGCTCAAGTCTGACTTCTTTGAGAACCCTCCACACTGTTTTTCACAGGGGGTAGGACCAGATAGTATTCCCACCAGCAGAGGATGAGGGTTCCTTTTTCACCACATCCCTGCCAACAGAGATTGTTCCCAATATTTTTGATATGTGCCATTCTGACTGGCACGAGATGATATCTCAGCATTGTCTTGATTTGGATTTCCCCAATAATAAGTGATAATGAGCATTTTTTTCCCCATGGCCATCCATGGGTCTTTCTCAGAGAAGTGCCTGTTCATTGGAGAAATTTTTTTTGGGGGGGTCACACCTGGTGATGCACAGGGGTTACTTCTGGCTCTGCACTCAGGAGTTACTCCTGACGGTGCTCAGGGGACCATATGGGATGCTGGGAATCGAATCTGGGTTGGCCGTGTGCAAGGCAAATGCCCTACCCACTGTGCTATCTCTCCAGCCCAAATTGGAGAAATTTTTTGAATATAATTTATGATTAACTAAAAAAATCAATTGCATGATATCTATGTGTGAGGTAAAAACCCATTTATTGAAAATTTTAAGACACTTTACAATTTTTTAATACAAACACATGTCTTGCTCTTGAATTGAGAGAATTAATATCATTAAAATGACATCCTACCTAAAGCACTACATAGGATTCAAATTTCTCCCTACAAAAATCCACCATGCATTCTTCAAAGAAACAGAACAAATACTTGTAAAATCTGTGGAATCATAAAAGTCCCCCAAAGCCAAAGGAATGTTGTGAAACACATGGGCACCATATAACATTCATGACTTTGACCTAGAACTCTGGACTCGAATAAAGATAGGCTTTGGGAGAAGTGGAATAGAATTGAGAACTCACAAGTCAAATAACAGATATATGGCTGGCTTATTTATGGAAATGGAATTAGGGACATTAAGTGGAGCAAGTAAAATCCTCTTCAACAAATGCAGTTGATTTGTACAAAATATTGAAGTTGGACCTTTATTTCACATTATAAACAGAGGTTTATTCAAAGTAGATACCTTAATATTACACTAAAATTAATAAAAAATAAAGTATCAGAAAGAAAATGGACCAAATGCCCCATAATATTTATTCAAAGGTATTTTCAATAATTTAACTCCACGACAAAAGAAAAAGCAAAAATAAATAGACTACATCAAACGAAGGTTTTTTAGTCTGTGAGACAATATTTAAAATAAAGAAACTGTACTGACAAAAGAAAAGGTTCACCATACATCTGACAAAAGACTAATTTTCATGTCATATCACTCAGAAACTTAGCAATAAAAGCAAACAAAAGCACAAAGAACCTTATCATAGTTAGGGAGTGGAGCTAATATTTATGAAAGGATAAAAAATATTTTGTTTTATTTGGTTACTGTGTTAAATATGTCCAGAGATATGAACATAATTAAAATATATAGAATAGTGAATCATTTTATTTATTAATAAAATGCTGTTGATTTTTTCTTTTGCAAAAGGAGATCTGTGGTAGTTTTTAAAAGATATGCAAAATAAGGCAAAATTATTTTACTTTTACTTTTGGAGTAACACCTGGTGATGCACAGCGGTTACTGCTGTATTACGGATTCACTACCAGGATCTCACCATTCTACAAAGAAGTAATCATTGGTGTCAAGAAAGGGGTTCGGCAGGGTGATACCATTTCACCGAAACTCCGCAGTGCCACCCTCGAGAACATCATGTGATGACTGGAATGGGAGGGAATAGGAGTGAAGATAGATGGTCGGCAACTACACCACCTCCGCTTTGCTGATGACATCGTTCTAATAACACCAAACATTAGTCAAGTGGCACAAATGCTGGCCGACTTCGACCATGAGTGTGGAAAGGTCGGACTCCAGCTGAATCTCACAGAGACAATGTTTATGAGAAACAGTCTTGTTCCTGATGTTCCATTCATTATCAACGGAACTACCATCTCCGAATGCAACAGTTATGTGTACGTAGGTCGAGAAGTCAACATGACAAATGACCTGGCACCCGAGCTGCACAGGAGAAAAAGAGCGGTTTGGAACACCTTCAAGAGTGTCGAAGAAATAGCTAAGAGGACGAAGAACCTCCAGCTACGAGCACATCTCTTCGATTCCACTCTTCTTCCTGCATTAACATATGCCTCAGAGACCTGGGCCCTACGCAAACAGGATGAGAACGCAATTCACGTCTCCCAAAGAGGAATTGAAAGAGCTTTGCTTGGAGTATCATGTTTCACTCAAATCAGAGAAAGAATCCGGAGTTCCAACCTCCGTCGACGATCAAGAATCAGGGATGCTGTCTAGTTTGCCAAGGTGTCAAAAATCAGATGGGTTGGACATGTAATGAGATTTGGAGATGACTGCTGGACTAGAGCCCTTACCAACTGGATTCCATGGGATGTCAAAAGACCACGTGGCCGCCCACCTACCAGATGGTCAGACTTCTTCGTCAAGACTCTAAATGATCAGTTTGAGGCTCATTCACAGTTCTGGAATGAGTAGGCGTCATTGGACTACACTAGCACACAACAGGGACGAATGGAAATGTTACTGGTGCCCGCTTGAGCAAATCGACAAGTAGCAGGGATATCAAGTGATCATGTGATCAACTGATAAATCGCAGTACTGTTTTTTTGGGGGGAGGGTGCAGATACACTCAGTGTTCAGGGCTTACTCCTGGTTCTGAGCTCAGGGATTACTCCTGACAGTGCTCATGGGTCAGATGGGTTGCTTAGTAATCAGCAGGTACTCAGAAGCGGTTGACTAATTAGTCAACAAAAAATTATTTATATTTTCATTATCCAGTAGGATTTGAATTTGGACCTATTTTCCATCTCAAAGTGAATTCAGCTCTGTTGTATTTTTTAATTTCTTTAAATCTTCTCCACACCCCATTGGTTTCATTCTTTAACTCAATCTAATCTCTCAAGAATCCCAGTCTCACATTCTAACAGAATCCCATTCACGAATAAGATAATCCTATTTCATGTGAAGCAATTCCGTGATAGCATGTTTTCTTGTGATAGTCTATAAATGTCTTTTAATCATTTAGGGGAAAACTGACCCGAATGAAAAGGATTTGTTACGTAAGGAAATCAGAAGGCGGGGAGGGAGTTCAAGTGTCCTGAAAGCCTGTGTTCTCCGCAGGACACACTCTCCTGCTCCTCCTGGCCAACCTCTCCAGGTCTGAGGTGGGAAAAGAGATGGTGTGACCTCCGACTCATCCCACTGCTTCACTCCCGTTTCTCTCAGTATGTACCCGGGACAGATCTGAGTCGGTGAGTACATATTCGTGATTTTTGTACTTCCTAATCGTTAAAAAAGAGCTGCAGACAAAACCATTGTTTAAACAAAGTGACGTCAGCTTACACAGGGAGAATGCTAATAAAGTTTAGGTGTAAGCTATTACCAATAGTCAGGTGCAGTGTCTCTCCACAACAGCCTCTTGGACGCGTCCATTCCCTCTCCCAGGCCTTGAATGAATTCAGAATTTAGGGCCACTTATCATAGTCTATTTATTTGCGTTTTTGTTTGCTGTATATACCAAATAGTAGACCTGTAGTCAAGATTGAACCATCATATCCTTTATTGTTATTTCTCTCTGAACATTCTACTAACGGGCACAAGAAATATAAACTGGCACAACTGAAATAAAACATTTTCAATCTGATGATAAAAACATAGTTTAAGTTCTCCTACTAACTTCTTGGAATAACTTAGTGTCTTAGAGTGTCTTTAAAAGAAGTACTTTTAGTTTGGGTTTTTTAGATTTTTTCTAATATTCATTTTAGTAATATTATCTCTTCAGAAAATTGTACTGTTTATTTAAATGATGAAATGTAAAATGAGTAATTTTCAAATTATCTTTTTAAAATAGGTGTAGGATAATTAACTATGTATTCTTTTTTCTTAAGAATAAAAGGTTTAGAACTTTATTATTTTGCCTTTTAATCTTTTAAAATATTTCTGGGGGTAAATTTGTTTATTCAAAGAACTAATTTGGGGATTTTTTAAAATACTTTATTATTCGTATAAATTTTGACTTCCAATACTAATATTTCTAAAAGTATTTGGCTTGGCACTTTATTCCTAATTTACTTGAGATGTATGGTCTAGGGACACAGAAACTTTTCTGTAAGAAGTTGTATGTTAGATGCACTTATTTGCAGTCCCAATGACTTTGTACAGACTTTTCTACCCTGTTTTTGAATCTTCAAGAGTTACATGCTATGAATGAGCCCATAGGAATGTTTCTGATTCAAACAACCACATTTATAAAAATGATGGTATGTTAGGTTAGATCTCTGAGTCATTATGTTCAAGCCCTAGATTAATCATTAAATCTTACATTGCCTTCCGTAATATGTATCTGTAATATTTAGTTCCATTAGGTTTTCTTCAGCTAAAATGACAATGTTTGTGGTAACTTCTTGATTCATTCACTCAAAATAGTAATTTTGAATCTTTCAACATGCATATGTTCCTAACTTCTTGCTCTTAGTACTACATATATACTTATACTCACTGATTTGCCACTTTAAATGGAGTTTAGAAATATGACACACAATTCATGTTCGATTATCTTTCACACTTTGCCAGAATAGGTATCTTTATTTTGATATTTACTTTGACCAAACATCATTTCAGATAACATGACTTTGTTTTATCATGAAATATTACTTTTAAAATTCATGAAGAAATAATAAATGCAATACCCCGGTGATTAACTTCTTAGTTTTCCAAGCTCTCTTTAACATTTTCTTTCTATAAAAGTACTATTAATTCATTTATTTAATTATTTTACTACAAACCATCTATATTAGGCGAAGTGTGTAGTGGTGTCGAGAAGAATTTTTAAATAAAATTACCAAATTTGGAGAGTAGAAAAATCTGTTTTACTTTGAAGTTTGATTTACTGTTTTATTTCTTAGGAAATGAATGAATACACAACTATGTTATAAATGAAGACTAAAGAAACAGGATATGTTGGTAAATCTGATTTCTGTACTTTTTTCATTTAAGAAAAGTGGCTTCCCTCAGTTATCTGCAAATAAGTAAAAAAAATGGATTGGAAAAAAGTTGAAGTTGACTTTATCAAGCCAACAAAATACAGAAATCAAGTATGGAGAAACAAAATATTTTCCTTGGAAGTCAATAGATGATCATCCTCATTTTTTTTTATTTCAAGCAGTGATGAGTTTTCTTGTCTGACTCACTGACAGTATTTTAGCTAATCTGTTTTGCTTACTTACCATTTTCTCTAGAACTTTCCCAAAGCAGCTTTATTTTTTTGGTTATAATCACATTTTATAGTTGCTTAGTGATATAATCTTCTTCTAAGCATTTTATGGTTATTCTTCATAGTGAATTAAGAAGTAGGTTTCTAAGTATTATCTATATATACACTTATATATATACTGAGATGTATATATTATATATTTATACTAGACACACACATATATACATATCTACATACATATGTGTATATAAGCATATATATATAGATACAGGCACCCAGTATATATATACATATATATGTATATATGTGTATATATGTGTGTGTATGTATATATATGTATATATATGCTGTCACCCAGAAGTACTCAGGTACTGTGTTCAGGGATCACTCCTGGCTGGTTTGGAATCCATATGGGGTATCAGGGAAAGAACCTGGTTTGGCAGTGTGCAAGGCAAGTGCCTTTTTCACTGCACTATCTCTCTGCCCTTTTAATACAGATTCTTTTAAAGATGAAATTATTATCATTAAGTTTTACCTTTCTTCTGAAAAATGTCATGATCCTCTTAAGTGATAGTTTTCTGTATCTATAGAATTTGGAATCATCAATAGTTTTCTCAATGTTCCTGAAAAATATGTTTTCTTTGCCCTTGGGCTTAGGTATAAATAAAACTGGTATTCACATAATATTAATTCCCTTCAAGGGTTTTCTTTCTCTTCCCTTTAGGAATCAGGGGATCATTGTGTTGTGTCTGAACGTTATTTTGCCTTTTTCTATGTGGGTTTCACTCAACGTCGTAATTTTGAATATGACTTTCCCCAAATTCTGGGGCTTTTTGACTATTATTTTCTTCAGACACCATCTCCTTCCATCTCCTTTCCTACTGCCACTCTGCTAGTATGGCTGTTTCACAGAATCCTAAATTCTGTATTTGAATTAATTTTATAGTTTGTCTTACAGTTAGGATAAGCCCTACTGACCTGTCCTCCTGTGTTAGGATTCTAGCTCCTGTGGTTTAATATAATGCTATTGAGCTCTTCTGCCAAACACTTGTTTTTGTTGATACATTTTCAATTTTACCATGTCCATTTGACACTCTTTAATAGCTTGCATTTTTTTTATTTTACTAAAGTGCTTAATTTTTTTATTTGTTTCAAAGGGAATTTTTTAAATTGGTTTTGGGACTACACCTGGTGGTACCCAGGCTTACTCCTGACTCTGCAGTTGTGGTTCACTCCCGGTGGGCTCTGGACCCTACGGCTCTCCAGGGAGCAAATCACACTGGCCATATGCAAGACAAACAGCCTTTCTGTCATACTCTCAGTTCAGCTCTTAAAAAAAACGAATTTTTAAACACTTTCTGAAGCCCTTTAAAAACAAATGAAAGAGAACACTTAAAAATGCATGTGTGATAATTTCTACATATAATGTTCTCAATATTAGTTGTATCCTGTCATAAATTTTTGTGCGTGAAAAAAAGATAAAAATATCATCCTGATGTTTCTTCTTCTTTTTTTATTGCCATTAAAATACTCTTGTTTCTTCTTCTTTTTTACTGCCATTAAAATACTCTGACTCATTTTATTTTAAGCCACCACCCCATTTTATGAGTGTGCTGCAGTTTCCAATACCATCAGTGATAATTTCATCCTTATTTCAACGTACCCCTAGACCTCTGACCTGAGTGCCAGCCACCAATGACCTGGGACCCCTAACATCCCCTTGCCCCAGGAAGCCATTCTGTGTACCAACGCTCAACCTCCATCGCCTTTGGCCATGCTCTGTTCCCTTGCTCTGTTTCCTGCTATCCTACATACGAAACGGATAGCCACCTTCTTTAAAGAAACCAATTTCATGTTGAGATTGAATGGGAAGGCCAGGTCACATGACATTTAAACTCTCTATTGATATTAAGTATGCAAACCAGAATACAGCATTCATTGACAATGCTTCATTGCGAATGCTTGGAATATTTAATTACAATATTTTCATTTGTTTTATTTTTGCTTTTTTTTGAGCGATACCAGGCTATATTCAAGGCATTCTTCTGGCCCTGCACTAAGGGATTGTTTCTGGAAGGGCCCGGGGACCCTATGTGGTGCAGGGCATGTGGAGAGCAAGTACCCTAACTGTCCTACTGGGGCCTAGGGGCCCTAAATCCTGCAGGAAGATTCTGCCAAATGCTGGAAAGCAGGTTCATTGTCTCATTCATTGCGTGTGGGCATTACCTCAGTTTCCTGCACAGTGATCAGTGGCGAAGGAAGCAGAACACTGACCAGCCTTCACGCAGAACTGCTGATGGGCAGGAAGGATTTTCCAAGCTTTACTGACCATACTCTACCCTGGGGGAGAGTGGCCACAGCCAGCTTCTTCAGTGGGGCTGAAATTTTCTTCCTGGGCCTGTGAACACAAGCAAGTACATTATTCAGAGGATTAGTAAAAGACTAGTTTTGGTGGCTTGCAGGAAGGAGAAATATTTCTGTTGCTATTTGACTGGATTAGGGTGAATTACCAAAAAAGATTTTATGACTTTAGTCCAGTCATTTTTCTAATCTTTTAACAAGGGCAAACATAACTGAGGCGTGTGTGTGTGTGTGTATGTGTGTGTGTGTGTGTGTATGTGTGTGTTTTGTCTTGCTGATAATTTTTCTAGATCAACGGCTTCTAAAGCACCATGGGAGATAACAAGAAAACATAAGGGAGTACTACTTTGTCTTTCTCTAACTCCCAAGGTTCCTACATAACCTGAAAGTTTTGAGGTCCCTAGACAATCTTACTTATCCTTTCAACTTTAGGAGTCTGCCGATTCTTCTTGATGAGTTCTGCCCAATATTCTTTACCCATTAAGGGAGAATTTATAAGAAATGATGCTATATTTTCCTTCAATAATTGGGAATCAAAAACCATAAATATCTATAATTTTTTAGTCATCATTGTTGTTTGCATAAGAGCGATTTCTAGCTGCTGCAATTATATTTTTCCTGCATGTTCTACTATAAAGTGGATTTCAGTTTCTTAAGATATTTAATTTTCTAATAAAT